TGCTGTGGCCTCATAAAGTGGTTTGGCCAGGCTTGAATATCCAGATATCCAGATGTGACAGAATCCTGCTACTCTCAAGAATTCTTGCACCTCCCTTTTGGTCTTTGGCTGTGGAATGGAGCAGATGGCCTGTTCCTCTCCAGACCTAGGGCGCATCATCTTCCTGAAATGATGAGCCCAAGGTATCAGACCTCTTGCTTGCAAACTTGGGCCTTTTTCCAGAAAACTTTGTAGCCTACCTCAGAGTCAAGTTAGCAATGCCTTCATCCCCTCCCAGCATTTCTCTCGATCTCAGCTTGTCAGGAGCAGATCATCCACATATTGGAGCAAGGTACAGCTTGGATTTTCTTCTCAGAAAGTTGACAAGTATGCCACTAGGGCTTCCCAAAAAAAGGTGGGTGAGTTTTGAATCCTTGAGGCACTCTGGTCCGGGCCATTTGTGTTTTTCTTACAGTAGGGGGGTCTTCCCATTCAAAGCCGAACAGAGGCTGGCTAATCAGGGCCAGGCAGAGGCAGAAGAAAGTGTCCTTTAGGTCTCGGCAGGTGAACCAGCTTGCTTGCAGTGGCAGAATGCTCAGGAGAGTGTAGGGGTTAGGAACTACCAGGTGCAAGGTGATAATGATGATATTACTTCCCTTATGTCCTGGACAGGTTGGTAATTGTTTCCTCCTGCCATCTTGACAGGTAACAATGGAGTGTTCCATGGTGATGGGCATTCGATCAATATCCCTGCATCCTTCAGCCACAGTAGGTGAGCCTGAATTCTCAGGCATGCTTCCCATGGCACTGGATGTTGCCTCTAACAGGAAGAGCCCCAGGTTTGAGATCTACCATTATAAGCACATGGTTGCAAGCTAGGCTAGAGGGCCCTTTTTCAGCCCAGACATCAGGAAAATCCTCCAGCAGGCAGATGGGCTTCATCAGGTCCCCCTTTTCCTCACTGTAAGGCTTGGGGGCCCTCCCTGGGTGAAGGTGATTTGGGCTCCAAGCTTTGTTAGTAAGTCCCTTCCCAACAGAGGAATTGGACATCCTGGTAGGTACAGGAACTGGTGAGTCACTGTGTGCCCTCCTTGTTGGCATGTCCAGGATCAGCAGAACTGCTGGGCAGTTTGGGTGTTGGTGGCTCTGACTATTGTGGCCCTGCACTTGGTGAGTGGGGCCACAGGTTTAGTGACCACGGAATGCTCAGCACCTGGGTCCACCATGAAGATCATTGGTTGGCCCTCCACTTTCATTTTGACCATGGTCTCTCAGGGGCCTAGTAGTAAGAAGCCCAGTCTTCCCTAATCTAACTCAATTCCTGTTAGGCCAATGAGGTCCTGGGCCTCTGGTTCAGGTTGCCATCCTGTCTTCTTTTCTGGAGCAATCTTGTTAGGCTCCGATGCTGGTCCCTTGCAGCAGTTCATTCTTCCTCTGGCTAATCTCCTTGAAATAGGCACATTGTTCTCATCAGAGTGGGGTTCTTCCATTGGATTTCCCATTCTGCAGCAGAGCTGACTGCTTGGTCGGGACTGACTTCCCCAGTGCTGCAGCCAATAAGGACACCTTGGCTTTCATTCTTTTATCAGCCTCTTGTTTTTCCACATGGTCCCAGTTCACAAAGACTTTATTTGCCAGTTCTAATAGCTGAGTGGCAATCATTCCAGTGAAGCCTTCAAGTTTCTGAAGTTTCCAGTGAATGTCAGCATATGACTGGGCCACAAATGCTGTATTGACCATCTGTTGGTTTTCTGGCACTTCTGGATTGAAGGAGGTGTACACCCGAAAGGCCTCACAGAATCTCTCATAGAAATCAGTTGATGGTTCCTCTGGCTTCTAGATAACTGCCACAGTTTTGGACATGTTGGTTGGCTTCTTAGCTCTAGCCCTGAGCCTGTGTAGGAGGGCAGTGTGATACTGAGTGAGGACTCCTCATCCTTCTGCTGTATTGAAGTCCCAGGTAGGTCAAGCATCAGGGGCTGCCTCTCTTGCCCAAGCTTCTGCATCTAGGGTTCCTGCTGTGGCCTGCCCTTGGAGCCAGTGGCAGGCTCCAGCAGGATTCGTCATCACTATTCTGTGTTGAAAAATGTCAGAAGGATCTGTCAGCAGTCATCCCAAGTAGGTTTATGGGTCTAAAATTTGGATTCTAGGAGGTTGATCATGGCCTGGGGCTTTTCGGAATAAGGCAGTATGCAGTTCCTCCAACTTAAGAGGTCAGCTGTACTGAAAGGCTGGTAATAGAGGATAGAGTGTCTGGACTGGACTGTGCCATCAGCACCAATCTGCTGGGGCCCTTGTGTCTCATGGAGCGGCATTTGTAGGGCCCCAGCCTGAGGGACCAGCACCTGGGACAAGCAAAGATGGTGGCTAAGGGGCTGTAGACTCTAACTCCAAGCGAGGGATGGGTGTGGGACATCACTGGGCTGGGAGACTGCTGAAAGAGCTGAGGGGGACTCACTGAAAGTGGCGGACTGTTTGGGAGAGGTGGCACTGTCTGCTCTGATTGTGGCAGCATGCTTGGAATGTATGACAGGGGTACAGGTGGTTCATCTTCTGGATCCCCTTGCAAAACAGCCTTGTTCAGCTTCTGGTCTTTAGGCTTCATTACCTGGGCCATGAAAATTCTGCTCTGTCCCTTTCTGTTGGTGCAGAATTGGACCCAAGGGGGAAGTCTGAGCCGATGGAAGCCAGGAATCGATATAGGGGAATGATAGGGATGTCCAGGGGTTTGTATTATGACCTGACAGATGGCCCTGACAGTGGGCAAATCTAGGATACCTTCAGGGGGCCAGTTGACCTCAAAAGTGAGCCATCCAACTCACACAGCATCCACAGCCTTCCAGAAGACATTTTGATTCCACAACCCTCTAAGAATCCCTTCTTAAAATGTTTAAGCATACACTCTAGGACTGTGGGTTTTGAGGAACTTCTGCCCATGGTAGTCAGAGGTGTCCTCTATATCCATCCTACGTATTCCCACCCTGTCAGTGCCGCAAAGACAAACAAGGGTGGGTTCCCCTTCAAGAGAAGAGACCAATCAGATGTCTGCCTGGCCATGTCTTGAAGGAACTTAGGTGCTTCTCAGTATCAATGGCAGGATCAGCCTTGTGACTCTAGATCAGGTTGCCCTGAGGCCACCCTAAGACATATGAGGATCACCACTGAACCTCAGGACAGACCCACTCAGACTCCGTAGCCTTTTGGCCATGGAGCCACAAACTCAAGCCTGAAGCAAGGACAAATCAGGCCACTCATTCACACACACATTCACACCAGAAGTAATTACAGTTTTCCTTCCCCCTTTTGGGGATGTCCCTGACATGTGGAATTCCTCTCAGAGATTCCCAGGAGTTGATCCCCGTCCGCCCAGTGGGATGGGACCTGACTGATGGCTGACTCCCTGAGGGCTTACTGAGTTTGGACAAAATTGCCAGGCAAGTTGGTCCACTTCTTCTTGGAATTCAGTCGAGGCAAGACTACTCAGAGTGTTGGAACTCAGTGCAAAGGAGGACCTGGAATACCATCAGGTAGCCATTGCCTGGTTCAGTCCCGAGTCCCTCACTACCGCAGTGCAGTCTGGACACTGGCTGGTGGCTCAAGGGGCAAGAATGGTTGGTATCTTGCTGGGGCCTCCAGAAATGGTGTGGAAATATTGTCAAAGGAGAAACCAAGTGACACTCAGAGAAGTAGAAGAACTTGGATTTTTATTTTATTTTACGCCAGTGGTCTCAGATGACCTTGTACTCAAAATTCTGGGCCCCTGCAGTGAAATCACAGGATTCTTAAAGGGCAGTGCAGAGGATCAGGTTACAGGGAATGTACAGGTTACTAACAGGTGGGCTCACACTGGGGTTAAGGACCTGAGGTTGTTTAGGTAGGAGCAGCAGGGGAGCCTGTTTCAGAAAGTCTACTTACAGAAGGCAGCAAAGAAAGGCAGGAATGGGCAGAAGAGAACTATAGTATCTAGTCTGTTTGCTGAAGAAGACAAAGAAAGGTGGGAACAGGCGATTATCTCTGCATGGGGACTTTTATCTTGGCCCTGGACATATTTTATGGCTTAACTAGCAATTTCTCATGTCCCATTACTTGCTTTAAGGCAATCTTCCTGTTAGGACTTCACTTTAGAATGCCAGGCAAAATTCAGGATATGAAACCTTGAAAAAGTATTATGGTGGGCACAAAGGGTAAGGGGAAGGGAGGAAAAAGTAATTCTAACAAGGACTACTTCCCCTAGGATCTGCATGTTACAAGAGGACCCTACCCTGCACACAGGGGCCCTCCATAGCATTCTGTGACTGCACACACTGTCGTCTCTACTTATCTCTCACCTGTTTTCTCAATGTTATCTCTGTTGAACAATTAACTCAGGATCAAGCAATGTCCACTAGAGCTGAAGTTAATTCCTCCTGTTGTACTGAACACACACCCAATAACCTGTCAGGTTCTGGACCCTGAGCCTGTCAGGGAAGGCCTGAAATTCACACTCCTGATGCTGGTTCCTCCTCAGAACTCTAGCACAGACATGTTGATTAACCTTTGCTTACCCTTTCTCTCATCCTCAACACCTGTACATTTATATCCTAATGTCACTGTTAACCCCCCATGCTGTGCTTCTGGGTCTCCTTCAAAGCCATATCTAGACACAACTGCTTTTTCTTTTCAGGATTAAACTCTAATTCCTTCTTCTTACTTTGAACTCTTCACAATGTTCTTAATTAATTTGATGAACTTCCCATGGCTCTCTCAACAATTTTTATGCTCCAGGCACACAGCAGAACTCTCTCCTCAGATGCATTTTCTGAAATATGATGAGGCAGAAAGGGTTTCATGTTCTTGCCCAATAAAGGCTATACACTCTGATTTCTATGCTTTTGTTTACTTGGTCCTTCAGTGGAGTGTCTTCTTACCCCAACATATCCCTACTATGACTGTCCTTGAAGAAATAGGTATCAGTCACCTGTATGAGGACTCTTCTCAGCCCATTCAGAAAGCTTTCCAATGTCCTGCCTTGTGTTCCACAGAGCTGCAGACAAACTCCAAGGTGACAGCTCTGGAAGGAGACATTCTGGATGCTCAGTTCCTGAAGAGAGTCTGCCAGGGCATCTCACTTGTCATCCACACTGCCTCTGTCATTGACATCTTGGGTACCATTCCCAGACAGACCATCATGGATGTTAACTTGAAAGGTACAATCACTGGGGAAGATGGAAGCAGATGATGGGATGGAGAGTAGGAAAACAAGGTGAGGAAGGGAAAGGAAACCCAACCATGAAGCACCTGCTGTACTCTGGGGCAGGTGCTTTGTCACTAGTCACAGTGCTTTGTCACTAGTCACAGCTGACACAATGCAAGGATGTTTGAGGAAATCATGGCTAAAAAGGGGCCAGGAATGTGGCCAGGGTCCCAAAGTTACTCACTAAGATAATGAGGACTTAAACACACACCTATATCATTCCAACTACCAGGAAACACTTCCTACTATTTCTTCATTATAAGGTTGAGTAGACTCTGACACCAAACCCTCATGTCCATGCACTCCCTGGGCCAGACCAGGAGCCCCCTCATCATGGTTTTAGTCCCTGCCTCAGACCTGATAGAACATTCACAGCTCCTGGCCACCTGAAGGAGGATTCTTCTCCAGAGGCCTAGCAAAGCTGCTCCAAAGAGACCTGTAGAAGTATCATCTAGCACTTGCCTTCCCACAGAAATCATCTCCCATTGCCATGGTCTGTCTGCTCACCACTGGGTCAAATCTTGAGGAGCTGGTCATGGACAGCTGTTCTAAGTCACTCCCCCATCAGTTCCTCATCCCTAATGCTTGGTCGTGCTTTCTGAATTGCAGATTATCAACTGAGTTTAAAATCTAAGGTTTGGGCCTGTGGCTCAAGTGATAGAGTTGAAGCACTGTACCAAGAATGAGATCCTGAGTTCAAACCCCAGCACCACACAAAAAATAATGAATAAACAAATAAATAAGCAAAAGTTCTGCCTTTGCTAAGCATGGTGAATCTTCCCTGTTATTCCAGCTTGAGAGGCAGAGATCTGGAGAACTGAGGCCCAATGTCAGCCTAGTGAACAAGTTAGCAAGGCTCCATCTCAACCAGTAATATGGTAGCACGCATCTGTGGTCCAAGCTACATGGGAGGATATAGGTAGGAGGATCGTGGTCACAGGCCAGACCTGAGCACATATGTGAGACTCTACCTGGAAAATATTAAAAATGCAAAAAAGGTGTGGTGGCATGACTCAAGTGGTAGAGAAACTACCTGCAAGGTGGAGACCCTGAGTTCAAACCCCAGTCAAAAAAAATCTAACCACATGTAACATTTGTTGGGCTCTGACTCCAGAAGCTATGCTCAGCTGCTCCCAAAGGCCCTGAGACATGTGTCCCCCATGCCTAGACCTGAAAATTTAGTGACTCAGAGACCATGTGGCAAAGCAAACAATTAGTAAGGGTATCAAGCAGCATCTCAGAAAGGACCTCTTCTTGTTTTTTACAGACCTGCTGCAGTCAGTGGAGCAGGGCAGTGATCATTGCTTTTCATCTCAGGTCCTTGCCCCAGAAGTACCTGCTTCATCTCCCAAGCACAGGAAGGGAAATAAAGGGGCAGTTCTGGGGACACTAGTTTCTAAAACATTGTCACAGGCTTAGAAAATAATTTGCAATTACCACGTTTGTTAAACTGAGCTCAACTTTCTCTACTGCGACTTCTTTTTGGTGGGACTAGAGTTTGAATTCAAGGCTTCATGCTTGCAAAGCAGGTGCTCTACCTCTTGAGCTACACCTCTAGTCCTCTAATACAACTTTTAATTTTTAAAAAGTCGACTTCTCTGAAGAAAATCAAATGCAGAAATATTTTAAAGGGAAAAAATAATTGGATAAATTAAAAATGAATAATAAAAATGATCCTTTGCTCTAGACATTTCCTCCTCCTTCAAGGGAAGGTGCTCTGCATCACTGCAGGTTCTGTAGGTCAACACTGCTACAGGGAGTCTGTGGTGTTCTCCCATTATAGAAAGGCCCAGCAGATGGCACCCTCTACTATTTCTCCACCAGGCTCAACAGAGCTCCAGAATGCTCATCACCCCTACTGTTCTTAACTGGGTAAAGAGAGCCACAGGAAGAAATAGGAGGGGATGCAAGGGAACACAAAGAAGACAGACTGGGTTTCTGGCCTCTTCCCACGAATCAATAACCATTTTCTCAGTGATTCACAGAATGTTCCTTCTGACAAAGTTTTTATTGATTTTCACCAAATAAGAAGAATGCAAGCACTTATGATCGCATATTGTATAAGCTGGGCATGGTGGCTCCCCCTGTAATCCCAGCATCAGGAGGCTGTGGCAGGATGATGGTGAGTTACAGACCAGCCTTCACTAACAGGACCACGTCTCACAAGACCATAAAGTAAATAAGAAAATATAAAGACATCATGTTGCTCATCTACAACTGGGTGTCAGCAGATGTGATTCAAATTCTCAATTATCTTTGACAGTATACATCCCTCAATTTTTGAATTAAACCATGACCTGTCTTTAATGAAATGAAATGCATGAGAAAATGCCATACTTTTCTTTTTCATTTTTTGGGTCTATTTTTCCAGTTGTGGGTCAAACAGTGCCCCACATGCATGTGATACAACTGCTCTCCCACTGAGCTGCACACCCAAAGCAATTGGTAATTTAATATCAAAACTGGCAAAATATAAAGCAACAACTCTATGTCCTTTTCCAATATCGAAGTACACCCATTGGTGGGTATGTAGCTCAGAGGTAAAGATTTTACCGAAGGTATGTAAGGCCATGGCTTTGAGACCTTGTTCTCCAGCACAGAAAATTTTTTTTCCAAAGTACATGCAACACACACCACTCACTGTCAATGAATCCAGAAGCCTAATTCTTGCTCCCTAGCATTCCAATGTCAGTTTCATAATTTTTGCATTATTCCTCTGATTGTGACATTGGCAGGTACCCAGCTCTTGTTGGAAGCCTGTGTCCAAGCTAGTGTGCCCACCCTCATCTACATCAGCACAACCGACGTAGCAGGACCCAACTCCTACAAGGAGGTCATCCAGGATGGCTACGAGGAAGAGCATCGTGAAAGTACATGGTCTGATCCATACCCATACAGCAAAAAGCTGGCTGAGAAGGCAGTGCTGGCAGCCAATGGGTGCACTCTTGAAAATGGTGGCACTTTATACACATGTGCATTAAGGCCCCCGTATATCTATGGGGAAGGAAGCCAGTTCCTTACTGCCACTGTGAACTTGGCCCTCAACAACAATGGCATCCCTCAGGGATCAGGCACATCCTCTGTGGTCAACCCGGGCTATGTGGGCAACATGGGCTGGGCTCACATTCTGGCCTCCAGGAGCCTGCGGGACCCCAAAAAGGCACCAAGCATCTGAGGACAGTTCTACTACATCTCAGATGATACGGCTCACCAAAGCTATACTAACTTACATTACACCCTGTGCAAAGATTGGGGCTTCTGCCTTGATTCCAGACCAACACCCTGCTCTGTTTCTGATGTACTGGCTGGCCTTCCTGCTGGAGACAGTGAGCTTCCTGCTGAGCCCAATTTACAAATATCAACCCCCCTTTACCCACCACTTACTGACATTGACAAATAGTGTGCACACCTTCTCCTACAAGAAAGCTCAGCAAGACCTAGGGTATGAGCTGCGCTTTAGCTGGGAGGAAGCCAAGAAGACAACTATGGAGTGGGTCAGTACACTAGTGAAGCAGCACAAGGGAGCCCTGAAGACAAAGACTCAGTGACGTGAAAGTGAAAAGGTGACTGGGATGTGGACTTCTAAGGAGCTTTGTGTCCCTCTCCTCTACCTGGCTACCTCCAGAAACAGACAGAGGCACAAGCCCTGGACCTATATCCCTCTTTGGCACAATGGCCTATTTAATATCTTACTCTGCCACCAGAAGCCTTTCCAATTGTGGGTCCCATCAGAAGCTTCCTGCACCCACCACCACACAAGGACAGAGAAGACGTTCTGCTTCAGCTGTACCCATGTATCAGGACCTGTTCCAGAGTAACCCAGGGCCTACTGTCACATAGTGTTGGCTCTTGGTTTCTTTTCACCTCTCAAAGGATAAAGCATTTCTGTTCCCTCTCCTCCACAGAGCTCAGTGAGAAGAGGAATAAGCATTTTAATGCCTAATCTGGAGAAGTGATATTTTGTTAACACTTTCCTGTTTTCCCATCCATATCCAGGTATGGCCAACTCCAGGACACAAAAACCACATGGGAGAGATAGAGTGGTGGTAGGTCCAGGAGGGGAACATGAGACTGGCTCCAACCTATTTGCCTTCAGGCGTGCACTAGAAGAATGACATATACCGCCTCATTTCATAACCACCAGGTCACAGGGAGACAGGAATTCCTGTTCCCACATCAAGGATGAGGAAATGTGCTCTCCATCTCTGATTCACTAGAGACTGATGTGAAAGCCTTCATCTTCCCATGGAGTCCTGAGGCCTGCACTGGTTGTCAGTGGGACAGCAGGGTGCTGGATCATGGGGTGCTCCCCTCACAGATTCTGGCTTCCTTCACTTACCTGCTTCCTGCCCAGCCCTTCAGAGGATACCCTCTAGAACCAGGAGAATCCTGATGGGCACCTGGGAGGCCTTCTGTGCCTCATATTCAGTGAAGGAAGCAGCAGATGCTCTCAGCTTTCACCTTCAAAATCAGTGTCCTTGAAGATTCTAGAGAACACCTGGATATTTGTGTCTTAGGGTTCTGACGACTCTTAACCCAATTGCTCTACCTTTTATTTCACACAGTAAGGAAATACCATGGGAAAGTAAGGAGAACAGGTCTAAATTCCCAACCTCCCCCCCAAAGAATTATCCCCTGATGATTGTGAAATGTGGAAATTTCTATACCCACCTCCATATTTAAATGCCTGTCCCTCCAACTTTCTCCATCTCCCCTGTCCCTATGTCCCATCCTCTCTTCCTTCATCCTCCTATTTCCTTATTCTCTACTCAGAAGCAGGAATGGGGTTCCCCGTGTAGGGAAGAGAAAACTGCCTCCCACTACACAGGGAAGGTGTTGCCTCACTGTCTTTGGATCACAGACAGTACCAAGATTTCTTCATTCTTCTTTCTCATCCAATGTTCAATAATACCAGAGATCACTTGTTTGGCCTGAGCTTCTGCAGTAGGCCCAAGAGACCAAACCAAAATTCATGCTGAATTTCCACATCCAAAGCCAAATGTCAGGTATTTATCTGACTTCCAAGATATTAGCACACAGGGATAATGGCCACATTCCCATGTAGGTCACTCATAGCCAGCATGACATGGACATCTATTCTGCTGAAACATTCACAAAACAGTTATCTAGAAAGAACTAGTCGGCCTTTTAGCTGGTTCTGCTATCTACAGCCCTTCATGTCTACAAACCCACCCGTGCTCAGCTTGTGGGACACCATTTTATGGTATAAGAGGAGTAAGTAAAAGCAAATCAACTCTATACCCTTAATTTGTTACAATGTTCTATTTTAACACTTAGAATTTAGAGATCATTGATTCAGTTAGTTGGACTATCACTAAGGTTATAAACTTGAATATTCAAGGAAAAAGGGGCAAACATCCAGGCACCCTTGCAACACCCCAACAGACACAGCGTCAGGACTGGGCTTCAGGGTGGAGAAGACCCAGGCAATGCAAGTGAGAAATAGAACTCCTTCTCAGGTACCTGAGCTACACAAAGCACAGGACAAAGCCCCTCTCCAGCCCCGGTGTGGTTGCACACCTCCCATGTGTCATGCCACCATAGGAGGAAAGAGGACCATGAGGTTTGGAAAAGGGCCTTTACTCTCCTTTTTAGCCTAGTGAAATCCCTCCTTGAACATCCAGAAAATTCTCACATGGGAGGGATGGGGCACTCTCTGCAAAGAGAAGGCAAGGGTGAGTAGAGAAATCAAAGAAGAAAGTGGTTGGTGTGCTTGACTGGGTAAGAATAAGGCCTTGGAATCCTTTGGCCAACAAAGTTCACCTTTCCTACTTGCACTGGGCACAGAGCTACCTATGACAAGCAGTCAGAGTTCCTGCCCCCAAGCCCAGTGCACTTTATGCAAGGAACCACATGGGGGCAGCAAAGACAAGAGGGAGAATAGCAGCAGCCCAGCCTGCACTCTCCCTTCTTTTCCCACTGTCTGGGGGACTCTGCTAAAGGAACAAGGGAAAGCATAGAAGAGCTCAGTATATAAGAGCTCAGAATGGAGCTGACCCAAAGGTGCTGGGGTAGGCTTCAGAGAGCAGGTCAGACTTGTGGAGCAAAGGAATGTGGATCCATGCAAGGGGAAAAGCCTGAGAGGTGGCGCAGAGGAGAGGGTGGGTGTGCAGGAGAGCAAGGCAGGAGGCCTAAGGACAGTGAGGAGGCTGAACACCAACTAAGTAGTGTTTACTGGGGAAAATTAAGTAGTGCAGGTGCCAGACAGAGCTATGACCTAGACAAGAGGAGCCTCAGAGGGCCCCAGTGGTGGCCAGAATGGTAGTCTGCTCAAGACCTGGAAGGAAATGACGGAGCATCAATTTTATGCTTAATCTTTTGATCTCTAAACACTGAAAGATAATTTTAATCTTTAGAAAATGAGCCGAAGATTGCTTTGGGGCTGAATGGTGAATGATGGGTAGGATTCCACAAACAGAAATGGAAGGAATGTGCTCCTGGCTGGAGTCTGCCAAGGTGAAGGTAGGAAACAGGGTGGTGATGAGGCAGTAAAAACAGTCTGCACGGGTGCAGAAGAAAAGTGCAAGATACACCTGCAAAGATGTGAGGCCCCAGACCTGGACCTTGGGTTTTCCTGGGACATATTCTACTCCCTTCCTTCTCTACTAGGTATAGACATACTTTGCTTCTTCTAGGAAACTTCATGCAACTACTTCACATTTAGCATTCCTTATCTACACTAAAATGCAAAAACTCTATGGGAAGAAAGTATGTCTCCTCTAGTAAGAAGTAATGTGAGTCACAGGAAAGATCTCAGACACTACTCAATGTGCCATGGAAAGTGTTAAAGATTCTTCTTCTGCTTCCTGGGAAGTTTACTGCAGCAGCACTCTGTAGCATGGATTGAAAGATGTGAGGAGGATGTTTCAGAATTTTAGTCAAGAAATGGAGGTTAACTCTTGGGGATATACCCAAAAGACTGTGACACAGGTTACTCCAGAGGCACCTGCAAAGGACTGTGACACAGGTTAAGGTTACTTCCAGAAGGCACCTGCATACCCATGTTTATTGTGGCACTATTCACAATAGCCAAGTTATGAAACAGCCAAGATGCCCCACCACTGACGAATGGATTAAGAAAATTGTGCTTGGGATAACCCAAAAGACTGTTGAACACAGGTTACTCCAGAGGCACCTGCATACCCATGTTTATTGTGGCACCATTCACAATAGCCCAAGTATGAAAACAGGCCAAGATGCACCCACCATTGACGACATGGATTAGAAAAATTGTGGTATCTATACACAATGAAGTTAGCAGCATGAAGAAGAACGAAAGTTATTCATTCACTGGTAAATGGATGGAATTGGAGAACATCATTCTGAGTGAGGTTAGCCTGCCCAAAAGACCAAAAAATCGTATGTTCTCCCTCATATGGACATTAGATCAAGGCAAAACACAACAAGGGGATTGGACTTTGAGCACAAGATAAAAACAAGAGCACACAAGGGAGGTATAAGGGTAGGTAAGACAACCTAAAAAATTAGGCTAGCATCTGTTTGCCCTCAATGCAGAGAAACTAAGGGCAGATACCTAAAAGCAACTGGGACAATAGGAAAAGGGGACCAGGAACTAGAGAAAAGGTTAGACCAAAAGAATTAACCTAGAAGGTAACACACACGCACAGGAAATTAATGTGAGTCAATGCCCTGTATAGCTATCCTTATCTCAACCAGCAAAAACCCTGTTCCTTCCTATTATGCTTAAACTCTCTCTTCAACAAAATTAGAAGTAAGGAGCAAATTAGTTCTCTGCTTGGGTATGAGGGGATGGGAGAGAGGGGTGGGGTGGTGGTAGAGGGGTGGGGGGCAGGGAGAGAATGACCCAAGCCTTGTACGCACATATGAATAATAAAATTAAAAAAAAAAAAGAAATGGAGGTTAGAGATACGTCACGGTCACATTGGTATGAAGAATCTAGTGAGGCAGAATGGACAGGACACTAGATAGGACTGAGTTGGTCATAGTAGTCCCATGGACACACATTCTCTTGTCACAAACCTGGATGTTTTCCCCAGGTCTCCTACTTGCTATCATTTAGTTGCAAACATGCTACACGAATGTATTCCAAAATGCTGAATGAATGTGTCTTCTTTTATCTCTGGCAACCCAGTCTTGGATCAGGCCAATCCCCATAAAGCCTCCCTGCCTGGATAATCATCCATGAAACCCATTCCCAACAGGGTTGGCAGTTTTCTCTACAAAATAACATCCCACCATATCGTTCCCTCTCTTAACCAATCAGTGTAGCACAAAACCATTAGGGTAAATCCAAGTGCTATAGAATATCACAAATAACCTGAAGACCTAGCCCCTGCCTATCACCTCAGAGTCAATTCTCACCATCCCTGTTCTATCCATAAATTCTCCAACTAAATAGTCTAACCATCTGCCAAGACTTGGAGCTTCCTGCATCATGTTTCGTGTCATATTCCCATGCCAGTACATAGTGTTCCTTCTACTTACAAAGTGCCCACCTCTTCTTTTGGCACATCTTTCTTAGCTTATTCACCAACCAGATTTTTCC